AGAGGGCGCAAATGAGTTTTTGATACACCTCCCCATCCCAGAACTCCGTATGTGATGTGACTTTCAACTAAGCTGTGGTATATTTTTTTTTTGCTTCAGGTCGAGTATGTCAGTCAGCTGTCGATATTTATATAACACAAATCTCAGTTTTCGTAAAATATAGTCTATATGTAAGTCCCATCTGAAGTGGTTATCTAAGATTAATCCAAGATATTTAACTTTAGTTGCTGAGGATATTTTCAAGCCATTCTTTATTGAGATTTGTTCAATGTCAGGTAACGACGATTTGGTGCTGGAAAGTGGTAAGAAGCAAGATTTTTTCAAATTCATAGATAGCAATTTACTATCGAACCAGTCTTTCAAGATATTCAAATCTTTTTCAGCATCATTTATTACTTCATCCCAACTTCTGCTTTTGTAGACTACCACAGTATCATCTGCAAAACTTATCACTTTCCCTTGCAATTCTAATGAAAATATACCATTTATATAAATAGAAAAGAGAATTGGACCCAATACCGTTCCTTGAGGGACACCGCACTCTATAGTCCTGTAGCTACTAATATCATTATTGATTTTCACTCATTGTTTTCGGTCTTCAAGATATGTTTTGAATAAATTTAAACAGTTATTTCTTATACCAATTTTTTCCAAACTTGATATTATTCGATTAGTCGAGAAGTCACTGGAGATGGTTGCTATGTATTTTAAAACAAGCAAATAGTTATACTATCAAATGAAATTGAACTTTTCAATCGTAATCGCGGTATTTTGATAGCGTTTGTAGTAAAATCATTGCATGGTGTTCGTGTTGAAATAGTTATTTAACCAACTAGTGAATTAATGAGGGCGATTAATGATCGAGATATTTTAACGTGCGAGCGAAGCGAGTGCGTTAATGTTCGAGATCATTAATCGCCTTTTAATATACAAGTTGGTTACAGATTTTTTCCGTCGACTATATTTCTCATTTCTCCTGCAATGAAGAAAACTTGGTTCGCGAATTCATCATCCATCCGGAAACTGCCAAGAATCACCCAGTAGCCTTGTGACTGACATTAGTGACATTTGACATTTGTCGAAATGATCAACATACGAAATAAATTCCTTGTGTTAGAAAACAGGGATTAAAATCGTGTCAGAAACTTGGAAAGGCGAACCCGTTAATGGAAAATCGTCGATGAAATCCATATTTTCGATTTAAATGCAGATTCCGCTAGTTATATAGCATAAACAATGAATGCACGCGGTGTATGTTTGGTTGCCTATAAAACAATCGTGCATTAATAGACAAATCGTCCATTAATAGGGGTCATTAATGAACGATTTCATATACATTAAACTTAGTCGTTAATACGAGGTCGACGGAAAAGACTTTTTTCCACCACTAACCTAACCTAAATCACGAAAATTCGAGGATTGCATCTAATGAGGAGTAACACTTTCTAAACCAAGGTGAATAATGACAATAAAAAAATGTTATCTAGGTAGAAAAATGATTAAAAGCAAATTTAGTTGAAACTACAAACCTAATTATTCGCGAGATTCACGAAGTGGGCGACATCTAGGATAATTAATACGAACTTCATACTGGGGGACAACAAACTGTTGTCTATAGATGAAGTGCATAGACTACATTGCATTCAGCTTGCTGTAGCTGTAGTCAAACTTGTCAATGACATAAAGTGTTGGCACTGTTGGTAGTGATGATGGTTGAGTTGGTTAATTTTTTCACATCATCACATTTTTATTAGTTCAGTGAACAGTGAACAAGTGAGGAATTGGAGATAGTTTAAACAATTCAAACTAATTATGACGAGCAAATCAATTGACATATAAAAGAACAGCTACAACATGTTTACAATACCCAGATTGTCCTGCTTTGCATGAACAAATACGAATCCATTGTTCTACTTCTGCCTCACACAAAATCACATGATTAGCACGGAGAACTGCTCCTTCTTCCACTACTGGTCGGCTTTTTCCGTCTGAATAGAGCAAAATATCTGCCAAAAGAACATCCACCAACAGGCATATTATTAGCGTTTTCGACCGAATGTTGACAATTGATGTCAAGAAATTTAAAAACATCACTCTTATCAGTACACAGTACACAAGCTAATGGCACTAAGGGGATTGAGTGAGGATTGAGTTTGTTTTCTCCCAGTTTTGACTTATCTTTGACATGGAACGATGAAAGCCGAGCGCCACCTGGTGACATTGAATCCCGCGAATAATGTATTCTAAAAATGTCACAACACAAATCATACGTTAGCAGTCACTGTCGTGTATGAATTAGACCAAGAATTCAAATAACTACGGCTTTCGGTAATGACACATTTCTTCTTCTTCTTCTTCTTCTTCTCTTTGGGTTTATTGGATTTCTGTCTCCTTTCGGTAACAATTTCTCCAGATCAGGTAATCATTCTTTTCAAGGATAAATACTTGGTTAATGTAATAATATTATCACTCGACTCGTCACATAAGACACCGATTGTCTATCACAATGGCCTGAAGCCGAGTCATCAGTGTTCATTAGATTCGATCGTATGTACTCCTCTTATCCAGCAAATCCGTTGCTGATCTGGCCTGGTTGCCGACGTAGAAATAATGGAGCACGTTCGAGTTCAAGTATGGCCTCCTTATCCGATGAATCCGTCATCATCCGGCCTCTATACCGGCGTAGAGATAAAAGAACCTGATATTTTTAACACACATTTCATGAACTTCACATCGCATATTGGATTTCAATCCAGATCAGATAATTAGAAAATTATGGACTTGCAAACACACTAACCTGACTTTTAGCCTGGAGACGCAATGTTTCTCCTACCGTGGCCAAAAGTCGAATCCAATGACACATCCATGATTGTTGTATTCATAAGATTTGAATATTTGAAATTATTTTGATGTATGATATATTTTGAATATCAACCTGCAATATTAATCAGTATCCTTTCTAACCTAATGCAGGTGTGGTTCAAGCTTCCTATCGAAATCATTGTCACTGAAATTCCTACTCGATTTTGTAGTTTTTCCACAATTTCACTAGGAATTTTTATACAGCGTTTATTTTCTGACAGCCAAGTCGAATGTCCTATTAGTCTGTTCGACAACTAAACTCTTGATATATCAAAATTGTATTCATAAGCTGAACAATGCTGAATAAACACGAGGAATGGCTTCGCTCAGGTAATGGAAATGAAAATTTTAATTGAGTAAAAATTTTGATTCTTCTGTGTAGTCGAAACAATATTATATATACCTCGGATGAGAATGCTCACTTCTCCCCCAAGGTCTATATTATCCTATTATTTTATACTGAGGAGAAATCTTTCGCGATATAATAGAAACGATCCCATCGTCTCTGTTCCAGCACCACGTACTTCAGCGTTCCAGCAGCTGAACCAACTCATCTTCGACAAGGTATATATGTACCTTGTACAAGTTTTTCAGCAATCCTCCGAGGTCCTGATGCCTGTATGAGATCGACGCGGTTCTGGTCTGCCAAAGTTCCCCAGTTCTTCCTTGCAATTCCATACTAGTCGAGACGTCACTTCCTAGCGTTGGTTGCTATGTATTTTAAAACAAGCAAAAAGTTATATTCTCATAACATATGTGATTCTACACTTCGCAATTGGATATTTTAATAGCGTTCGTAAAGAAACAGTGTTTGGTGTTCGTGTAGAAATGTTATACTTGAGGAAGAAACTTGCGTTGTTTGTTGCGTTGTTTGTTTCTGAATCTCGCCTACACGCCCAAATGATAGTTATCCATGATGTAGTGTTGAAAGGGCTACCATCTCGTTCTGGAAAGAAAATGTAGCTATTCTCTCGTGCAATCACAGGAACCATCCCAAGCATCCAACATATAAGTTCTTCGAGCCGGATCTATTTGAATCAAACATCTGAGAATGCCAGTAAATTGCTCGAAATCTCTGTGCCTCAACAGAAACCATTCCATCGTCTCTGTTCCAGCACCAATGAAATCCCGTAATTTAGCGTGGTGTTCAAGCAGCTGGACCATCTCATCTCTGACAAGGTCATCTCGTTCCTGAAGCAGAACGACTACCCGGACGCCGCCTATAATCGGCTAACCTTCTCCGTGTACTTCGAGGTTAAGAACTTGGCTACCTTTCACCATCGCCTTTCAATGAGATTATATAGACCCGAAGGTCAAAAGGCCATATTCTGGGCGTTTATAAACCCTTCATACCTACTCAAGGACTCATTGGTAATTCCAGGCATTCGAAATGTTATACTGAAGCAATGGAAGTAGCGTTGTTTGTTTTATAATCTCGCCTACGTAGCTATTCTTTCGTGCAATCACAGAAACTATCCCAAGCATCCAACATATTGGTCCTTCGAACCGGATCTATTCAAATCAAACCTCTAAGACTGCCAGTATATTGCTCGAAATCTTCATGCCACAACAAAAACTACTTCATTGTCTCTGTTCCAGCACCAATGGAATCCCGTACTTCAGCGTGGTGTTCAAGCAGCTGGACCACCTCATCTCCGACGAAGTCATCTCGTTCCTCAACCAGAACGAGCATCTTGACGCCGCCTACAACCGGCTAACCTTCTCCGTGTACCTTGAGGTTAAGGTTTATAGACCCGAAGGTCAATCGGACATTTCCAGGGCGTTTATTGAATCCATATATGGACTGATTATTCGCTTTCACAACCTACTCAAGAACTCATTGGTGCTTCCGGGCATTCGAAATGGTATACTTGAGGAAGAAAGTAGCGTTGTTTGGTTTGGAATCTCGCCTACTCGTCCAAATAATAACTATTTATGATGTCAGTGTTGAAAGTGTCACCATTTCGTTCTAGGGAGAAAACGTAGCTATTTTTTCGTTCAATCACAGACACCATTCCAAGCATTGAATATATTGGTCCGTCGAACCGGATCTACTCAAATCGAACCTATAAGACTGTCAGTATATTGCTCGAAATCTCCATGACACAACAAAAACTACTTCATTGTCTCTGTTCCAGTACCAATGGAATCCCCTACTTCAGCGTGGTGTTCAAGCAGCTGGACCACCTCATCTCCGACGAGGTCATCTCGTTCCTCAACCAAAACGAGCATCCCGACGCCGCCTACAACCGGCTGATCTTCTCCGTGTACCTCGAGGTGAAGGACTTGGCCACCTTCAACCAACACCTGCCCATGGGCGGCGATCACAAGCTCATGCTGCCCAGGTGCCACGAGTGGTTCGAGCCGTCGGTCAGCTGCTGGCTGAACGTCTGCAAAGGGAAGGCGCTGCAGAGGGTGAGTTCGGAAGTTGGGGAGTCGATTGGTAGTGATGGAAGTAGGCTTCGCCTGTAAAACAGACGAAAGAGTGCTTTAGTTCAATCAACGAACGTCAAAAAAGGTTGGATTGAGGCAAAAATCGTGTAGACGCGAATATTTGTACAAAGATAGAAGGAAAAACGTATCAAAAGTGGAAGTCCTGACCCGTAGCGGATGAGCAGAGCGGTAGAGGAGCGTTTGAAGGTAATTTCTCCAAGAAAATGTTGGTATTGTTTATGCGAAGTTAGTTGAACAGATCATCAAACGAATGTCGGGCCGCGTTGCCGCACTCTTTGAACTTTCAAAGGGGCCGACGGATTGCGGCGATGTGTGTTTAAAACTGACTCTACATAAACTATATAATAAAATGATAAACATAAAATTTACTACATGAAACTGATACTAATTTTTTCTCCAATGAATAGTATCTGAGATACAGGGGATGAAATAATCGGGAAAACAATGAATCGCTCATTACAGTGACAACCAATTAAGGACTAGATATCACCTGAGCCAATAGCATTCTTTGCAGCAATCTTGCCTATGTTCTATCGGATGTGCGAACTGTAGTTCCAATATAAATAAAACCACAGTGACTGTGACATTTTGTGCATTCTATTGAATCGATGAATCGATTCATTCATTAGGACCAAGTCTCATCCATAATAGCAAATACCGCGCCATATCAACAATAATAAGAGCGATTATTTATTTCTCTCCATATTCAATTATGTTCGATCGGTATTCAAATGAAGATGAACAATCTCTTTGTGTGCGACAAAGAAGTATTGCTGGTCGTGATCGTTGATTGATATACCTATTACGCCGTTGATTGATATAATTATTACGCTAATATACAGTGTGTCCCACTTACCATGCTCACCATTGGTATCTTTTTAACGGTGAAAGATACGAAGTCGGTTAAATGACACCAAATGTGGAGTTTGTCGAGGCCAACTATAATGTGAAAAAATATTTTGATAAAATCTATTCGTTTTTGTTTTATACGCAAAAAACAGATTTTGATTATTTTCATGTCTCCTCCGTAACTTTCTTATTTATGAAAATATTCGAATAGGAATTTCACATTCTCATGGCAGTTTTTCAAAGTGATTTCGAAAAAAATATTAAATTTATACCAACTCTTCTAGAATTTGAGATAGCATCACCAACTTTAGTTTTTCAAATGTAGCTCATAGCTCACTATGACTTAGTTACAAATAACTTTTTTTCCTCCTACAGATGATATGTCGCAGTTATAGTTTTGTGTTGATAATTGATAACAACGGAGTTATCGTCATTCATACAAAACAAAAAAATATTTGGAAGCCGCCATCTCGAATTTATAAATTTAAACAAAAAAATCATGATCTCCGACCTCAAAAACCCCCACTTACCAATTTTGAATGGAATCGGACCAAATCTTGTCCGCCATCTTGGAGCAGCCATTTTTTTTAATTTCAACAAAAATTCCATAACTCCGATTAACTTGAAATTTGGCAGGTGTTCATAATTTCGGTAACAATACATCATGGATTTTTTGTTGAAATTGAAAAAAATGGCTGCTCCAAGATGGCGGACAAGATTTGGTCCGATTCCATTCAAAATTGGTAAGTGGGGGTTTTTGAGGCCGGAGATCATGACTTTCTTGTTAAAATTTATGAATTCGAGATGGCGGCTTCCAAATAATTTTTTGTTTTGTATAAATGACGATAACTTCGTTGTTATCAACATCGCACAAAACTATTACTGCGACATATCATCTGTAAGAGAAAAAAAAGTTATTCGTAACTAAGTCATAGTCATAAGAAGAGTTGGTACAAATTTCATATTTTTTTCGAAATCACTTTGAAAAACTGCCATGAGAATGTGAAATTCCTATTCGAATATTTTCCTAAATAAAGAAGTAACGGAGGAGACATGAAAATGATCAAAATCTGTTTTTTGCGTATTAAACAAAAACGAATAGATTTTATCACAATATTTTTTCACATTATAGTTGGCCTTGACAAACTCCACATTTGGTGTCATTTAACCGACTTCGTATCTCTCACCGTTAAAAAGATACCCATGGTGAGCATGGTAAGTGGGTCACACTGTATAATAAGCGTAATATATCAATCAACGCCGTGATTATTCAAAAACAAGTCATCTAATCAATCAGATCCCGAGAATAACGAATACAATAGAGATCAAGCAAGTATGTCAATCTTGAAGGCTTTCATGATGAAAATCCAAAATACTTAACGATAATATGGTGTATTTATATCTCCAGCATGTGTAAGTAATGTCAAATCTGCCGAAATCGGTAACAAATCAGGTACCTATGCTTCCCAACCCAAATAACCAACCGTAACAATGTTGTTTATTATTGATGACCTAGTACATCCTTTTTAGTTCCTAGGAGCTGAAGTTCCTAGGAGCTCGAAACCGGTCTATAGGTGTCTAGCGTGGCTTGGCTAAATCGAAATCAATGGGCATTCAGGAAAGAATAACTTGTTTCAGTATTCGTTCATAAGAGTCGATGCATAGATTTCGGGAGGATGTGATTAAATATTATCCGTGGCATTAGCCTGGAATGTAGTTGTTCATTCTATGAACATTGTCTGGAAATGACTTTGAGCTCCTTGTATTTGTCTAACATTTCGTTCCACTAGCATTGTAGCTATGTCGTAGTTAAAATGGACGACTTTTGTGTCTCTTAAATTCTCAGTTGAATCCTGTGATTATGAAATCCATGTACGTAATAATAACTTTGTATGTGGATGAGTAAAAAAATCAGTACCCACTGATCGAGTGTGAAATTTTTCAGAGACATTGTCGATTTGAGAAACAATAACCCTTATCAACTCGATTTTCTTGAATAAAATGTCAAATGATGACAAAATTGCACGTGTTGTGAGCATCTCGTGTTATTTTTTGTCATATAAGTCTGTCTCATTACCTTTTTTCAGGTTACTTAGGAAAGAAATAGTGAACAACTATGTTCTCCATTTTTTGGGATCATGAAATGTTTCACCCAGTTCTCTCATTCTAGTTATTTCAGTTCACTCAGTTCAAGTTTTGGAATTTAATTTTCCTGATGTACCTGCTGAGACTTCTTTCATTATTTCCGCTTCCGTGCTACTGAAAAAATTCTTCGAATTCAACTGATTCTGAAATGTACTATACTAGCATACCTACATCAACATGAAATAAATGATGTTTCACCATGATTACATCGCGCAAACAAATTGATACGTCGTTATCGAGTATCATTAGAACAAGCAAACATCATCATTCCAAGTCATGAATAAGCAATTCAACTTGGAAGACCAATTATTGCATGTTTGGCAATATCCACTAACTATTGGTACTGGATTTCCAATTAGCTGACATTGATAAATCATTTCTGTGCTTTTAATTGCATTTAGATTGCGATGATGGAGTAAACCTATAGGTTTGTTTGCCTGATAATCACGTGATACTCAATTTCATTCTATATATCCGATACTATTGGAATCCATGAAAACCAACAATGTATATTGTATCATAAATCATCATCATTGGGAGAAATATTAATATGATTTTAGTTACAGGGTGTTATGAAAGGGTGTTTTAAAATATACAGATATATCAAATATCTCCTCAATAGGAGTTGTTCAATAACTGAGATATTATCAATTGAATATTTGCTTCATTTTGAAATAATTTCGTTGGCCGAACGAATTTCTGTCACCCTGTCACTCTTATACCGTCCACAGTAGAATTTCTAGCGCTCATCATCAGATCCTTCTTCTCATATTTACGGGAATAATGAACTTTTTTTACATGATTCTGATGTATTGTATATTGAGTGTCGCCAAATTGAAGCAGCAGCATTTTGTATATGTATACAAAAGAATTTCCGTTATTATTTATCCGATGTGAGAAAGAATATCAATTATCAATTTCAGAGGATTTTTATTTTTCATGCTCTCCTTTGGATGTTATATTTCAAATGAAGAGAGCGTATTCTGAAATATGAGCATGCATATTTTGATGAATTTCTCCCGACTGATTCTCGGTATAGAGATAGTTTAAGCTCATCGTGACATACCCAGTATATATTCCTTTTTTCATGGTCATAATCCATCTGAGAATATTCCTTCTCAATATCTTCAAGTCTTCAGAACATGTTATTCGATTCCTGGTCGGTTGCCATTTGTCTAAAGCTATCCTGCGATAACATGATAACATGAACCTCATATTTTCATTTAGGTAAACGAAGAGAGAAAATTAAAAGAAAGAGATATTCAGCTAGTTAAACAACGACATATTATGAATTTTGCTCGGTTGGTGGTAACAGGTGTGGACATCCAGAAACCCTGCAAGGGTGACAAGCTGGTCAAGCACAGCTCTTCAGCAATATACGTCGCCACGATGTTTTGACAGATGCGAAACACACTATGCCTTGCTGCTGTCGCAAATATGATAATTTCTTCAGCGATAATGACCAGGCGACTTCAGTGTCACTATCTTCCGGTTCATTATTCCCCAGAAAACTTTTTCAACTTGCTCAAGATGCATGAATCACGTCATATAATTGAAGCCTTTTGCTTCCATCGATGAGCTTTTTTTTCCTTAAACTACTGAGATCTCGTCCTGCGATAACGCCTAGGCAAATATGTAACTCGATCCCTGCTCGGGTGCCATTTGTCGAAATCCATCCTGCGATAACAAAGTGTCATAATACTCATATTTTCATTAAAAGAAACTGAAAATGTAGAATTCAGTAAGATCTAGATAACAAATCGATTACTACAGGTACCTATGGATGAAATCTAATCTAATATACATTCTGCTTGGGTAGGTGCGAACAGCTGTCAAATTCCAGAAACCCTGCGAGGGTGATGAACTAGTCAAGCACAGCTCCTCAGCGATTTGAGTAGTCACAATATTCTGCCAGCTGCAGGACTCCTGGTGGGTGATGTAGTGGACCAAAACGCACTATGCCTTGATGTTGTCGCAAATACGATAATTTGTTTTGTGATAATGACCAGACGACTTCGGTCTTCCGGTCCATTTTCCCCAAAAAACTACTTCAACTTCAAGACCCTCGGATTGATAGCCTCTGAAGTACGTGAGGCCGCAGATGCAGGAATGACGTGATATAATTGAATCTTTCCCCTTCCATCGGATTGTTATTATCGAAAAATTACCGGATGATGCAGAAATAGTCGTATGAATAATCGTTTAAAACCCATCATTCATAGGAGTATACGAAATTTTTCCTGCGATAACGCCCAGACAGATAGGTGATTTGATCCCTGCTCGGGTGCCATTTGTCGAAACCCATCCTGCAGAGAAGGATAGAAAATCTCAAGACCTCTAGGAAGATCAATAACTCTATCTACCTAAAAAAAATCCCAACCTCAAATGAATTTTGTTCTGTAGGTGCGAACAGCCGTAGACATCCAGAAACCCTGCGAGGGCGACAAACTAGTTAAGCACAGCTCCTCGGCAGTCGACGTAGTCACGATGTTCTGCCAGCTGCGGGACTTCTGGCGGCTGCTGCAGTGGCCCAAGACACACTCCGCTCTGCTCTTGTCACAGCTGCTGGACTGCGTGTGCTCGGCTGCACTGCTGTACGCGGACATCACCTACCAGGGGCTTATGGAGACGGGTTACTTCGATAGGCTGGGGCCATTCAGAGTGTCCGACGAGATGTGCATAGCGGCGAATAACCTGGAGTACGTTTACAAGTTTGTGTCCTTGTTAGGTGAGTTCTATTTTTTTTATGTTCTGGTGTCCACGCAAACGGATATCATATATCAGAGAACATCGTGAGCACTAAGGGAGATAAGGCAGGAATTTGTGTTCTTCTTAAATTTCTGGAGGTCATATGCCTCGGGGAACACCTCCCTTGGCAATGTGTTCCAGAGCCTCGCTGTTCGTTGGATGAACGAGTCTTTGGAAAGAGATGCACTGCAGTGACAGAGATGTTCTCCAAAGTGACCACGAAGGGGTGCGAAGCCTCAACATGACGGGTCAATCTCGCGAGAACTGCCAAGGGACGAACAATTGTTGATATTTCAGAAGAGCATCGTCCATAGGAATATCTATCAAATAGAGCCAGATCGCCAAATTATCTACGGTGTTCCAGAGAAGCGAGTGACTTTGTGAGCGAGGCATCACCCACGAGACGAATGGCCCTTCTTTTGGACAGAATCCAACAGTTTCAGGGTATGTTTGGTGCTGCACTATGATATTTGAAAACAGTATTCCAGGACAGGTCGGATCTGTGCCTTATAGATCATAAGCAGCTGACTGAAAGTGAAATAGCTTTTGGCCCAAAACAGAAAACCAAGTTTTTGGGATACACTTATAGCAATTGATCTCACGTGATTTTCCCAAGAAAGGTTATTGCTGATAGTATTACCAAGCTTCGAAGTGGATGTCTTCAAAGGTGTGGTTACTCTTGACAAGCTTATGTTGGGCACGTTGAGATCGGCATTTCTAGAGAAAAGGCATGCTTGTGTTTTGTGTGCTTTGAAATCAACCAAGTTATCGGATCCCCATTCGATAATTGTTATTTATGATCAATAGAGGAAAAACCCAAAGTCGTCTCCACAATTTTTAATGTATAATCAGGCAGTCAATTCTGCTTCATTAAGGTTGATACATGTTTCGGCCATTCAAATGGCCATCTTCAGTCAAAAGAATATAACAAAGTGTATGTGGAAATTACTTCAATGCATCGTGAAGGCGAAAAAATTATCACTTAATCATCATTTATTATTTGTATTAATTAGAATTGAAGTGATGTAAGAGGAATTGGGCTCTCTAGAGAGCTTCTTCAGCGTCCCATGAAGAATTTAACTTTCCTCTTGGGGGAGTGGGCTTTTTGCCTTTCTCCCAATTCCTCTTACATCACTCCAATTCTAATTAATACAAATAATAAATAAATGATGATTAAGTAATAATTTTTTCTCCTTCACGATGCATTGAAGTAATTTCCACATACACTTTGTTATATTCTTTTGACTGAAGATGGCCATTTGAATGGCCGAAACATGTATCAACCTTGATAAAGCAGAATTGACTGCCTGATTATACATTAAAAATTGTGGAGACGACTTTGGGTTTTTTCTCTATTGATCATTCCACTCCACTTTGAGCATGGACTACTACAGAAGATTCCATATTTATGATGTCAACATTCGTTCCTCGTTCTTTTCTGATCTGCCTGGCTGGTATTAGAGCTCTGGAAGAGAAGGCGGTATGGAGGGTACTATCATCCGCGAAGGTGTGTACTGGACATGAAGTTGCTTTTCTAATGAATCGTTGACATGGAGTAGAAATAGTGTTGGTGCTAGAATTGATCCATGCTGAACATCAGCATTTGTGATACGAGAGTCAGATAAAACTCCGTGGACCACTACATGGAGAGACCTGTTTGAGAGAAAAATAGCTAGCAGATAACATAGCTGGGGAGACAAGTCATAAGGTGGAAGCTTGGCGAGGAGTCCGTGGGACCAGACTCGATCGAATGCCTTGGAGATATCAAGTGCCACGGCTAAGGTTTCACCATATTCTTCAATAGATTGCTGCGATATATGTGAGATGTAAGCGAGCAGGTCACCAGTTGATATCTGATGACGAAAGCCATATTGCCTATCGTAGATAATACCTGAATGTTCCAGATATTTCATGAGCTCGATGTTGATAGCTCTCTTCATGATCTATGAAACAATAGATAGCAGTATGATACATTGTCAGTATTGATACTATGCAGTGGCCGAGAGCTGTCGAGGACCTGGTGCAACGATGATTGATGGGGCCATAGTTCACTGATGAATTTTCCCACCCCAAGAGCTGAAGGTTGTCGATGATCGAGAAATAAAGAAAGAAGCTGGGACAGAATGTGAGGAATATTGTGCTGCTGGCATCTTCTTTAGTTATTCCATGGTCGAGTCGCCTGAATTGGAATTGGAATTTTTGAATACATTTGTCTCTTGAGTATGAATTCAGTAGTCTCGATTGTATTACACACCCTATTACTAATCTGACAGTTATTATTAATGTAAACCATTATGTATTCAAAATGTTGATAGAATAAGGATGATTCCAACAAGGCAATAAAATTATATTAATCAGAATTTCAGGACAAGATTGAAAGGACGCAACATTTCCCTATTCAACATCTAAGTTTTCGAATGTTAGCTTCGTTCCGTCGACTGTGATCAAGTCTCGCGCCTAACAGTCATGTTAATCTTTTATTCTTATATTTTTAGATAAAAGCGAAGTTCAATATTCATAGGTGCCCCGTACTGAATATGGAGGAAATATTTATAATCAATATTCCGAAATAAAATCCGGTGCGCTGCAACGATCTGCCCAACCATAGTTACGCTACTGATAGTATGAATCAGATATAACCTCATCTTATCTCACTTTCCTCCTAAAAGAGTCGTGACACGTTTTTGGGGAGTTTTCGTGTAGAAAGTGAAGTTCTCAAGTAGCACAAAGTCATAAGTATCACGCTACGACCTATTAAATCAATCAACCAATCTGCTTGTATTCGCTATGCTTGTCAAAGATATATTAGAATTTTGTGTCGATATCTTCCGTTCCATTATTCTCCAGCAAACTACTTCACCTCATGAATAGTATGGAACATATTATTTTCATAACAAATTCGATGATTTGTCCGGCGATAACGCATATGTTCTTCCAATATGTAAAGTGATCCCTGCTCGGGTGCCATATCCGACTAGACTTCAGTGTACTAATTTAATGGTCTATTATTCTAGAAAATTACTTCGACTTCGTAACCCTTGAATCGATAGCGTCGGAGGCGCAGTTCTCAGCTCTGGCCAACCAGCTGGACAGCACGCTGAGCCAGTTCCAGGTGCGGATCAGGGACGTCTTGAAGCGCGTAGGGCCGCAGATGCAGGAGGCACTCAGGAAGGCGGTTTTCCACGCAGCTTGGTCGCCGGATACCCTGCCTACTAACCAGGCGGTTGAACCGCTGTTTGAGTATCTGCACGGGCATTTGCAGGCACTGAACGTCGCGCTGTTGCCTCAGAATTTCCAGAAGGTGCTTCAGGAGGTGAGGATATATTTTTGAAATATCAATAATTATACGGTATTGTGAAAATTGTATCACTTGTAGCACGCGACAGGTAATCTTCATCATGTTCTAAGATCATCATACGTACCTAGGGAGGATAGGGAAAGAAGGAAGGTATTGCAATTTTGGTAGAGAGTTTTGACCATGCGAATGGCTCATTTTGTGATGGAATCTGATAGCATCAGCGTGAGTTTGAAGCTCAAATCCACTCTTGGGAGCAGTATTCTATAACAGGACATATATCTGGTTTTTATATCATGAGATTCTGTCAAGGTGTAAGGAAGCTGTTCGTACGAAATAAAATCCGATTTATTGTGACGCAGTTCCGCAATGAATCTGACATGATCTCTCTGATGGAAATACAATACTGAGCAAATATATGGTGGATTGAGAACGGTGCTACCAGACATTGTTATATCTTGTTATATCACAATGACTGTGGCCCTTCTAGAGAAAATTCAGGCTTGAGGTTGGGTGGCGTTGGATTCAACTGAGCTGTTAGTTTCCCAAGTTGTGATTTAGTAAGATCCCTATTGATACCATTGACCTGCCTTCATGCGCGAATAAATAAGTCACTAATGATAAGTGAATGAGTCACTAATGACAAGTCAAAAAGTCACTAATGACAGTGCTGTGTTCACTAACGGTGATGAATCAAGAATTCTATGGAACAGGTTAATAGTGGTAGGTGTACATTTTCAGGAACATAAATATTCTTGTGACTATTCTTGTTTCCTTGTCCCAAATAGTATACAAGTTCTTACTTGCCACTATTGAATATTCTCCTAGGGTAAGTGATTTTTTTTCTCCGTGTATAGAACAGCGCAAAGCTTTTGAATCCTTTGCCAATGGAAGTATTCCCAAGCCTCCATGCAAAAGTTCAAGCAAAATTGCAATATCTACCCCATCTCGCTAGCCTCCTTTGCACGAATATCATTGAACATTATAGGAATTATCTTTCGTGTGCCCCAAGAGATAAAAAAAATAAAACAATAATTGTCGTAGGTTTGGGAATACACTTTGGCAGAACTGAACTATCAGATGGATAGTGGTTCGAACAACGAGGAAACTCCATCGAAGTTCCATGAGCGACTACACTGCGCCTTGGAAATGATCGTGGAGTTTTTCCATGGTGAAGGACAAGCTCTAACGATGCAGGTAAAGATAACTTCAAAGCTATACTTGCTCCCTCGTCAATGCTAAAACACCATTTCGTATTTCTTTCAAAGGTTCTGCACTCGCCAATGTACAAACAAATAGAGCAGCGACTGCAGTACCACAGAACGGATACCGAGACCTTGATGGAGATATTTTACAGTCAGAGGTTGCAAGAGCAATTGAATACGACCAGTAGTCCGTACGGAGTTTTGGCAGTGAGGGCATACTTCAATCACGATTCGCTTTGCGTGGAGGTGAGTTTTACAGCTCTCCAACTGTTCCAGAATAAACAATGATTGAAAGAGAACTACGAAAGACCTGAAAAGATAGGATCTCATTCAAAAAACTAGATACAAAGCTCGAAGTCACTTCCACAAATGTTCATAATATTATTGGATGAGCCTGTGAAAATGTAGGAAATCTGTTGGATCCAGATGGAACTTGAGAAAAGAAGATCCTCAACTACGAAAAAGCCAAAGTGCTCAAAGTGGAATGCAATTTTGAATAAATACACTCACCGGCAAAATAAACCGGCCATGCACCAAAAAATTTGCCCAAATTGTTCAGCCTGTAACTTTTTCAATCCTTGTCCGATTTTTGTGAAATCTCGATCGAATCGTAGATTAATGTTCCAGAATGTTAGCCTGAATATTAATTTTCCTGAAAAACTGATGACCTGATCATTATAGAGGGAAAAACCAAAGTTACTCTTTCACCCTATATTTATCAACGCCCTGTGGCAAAATTGCGTGATTGAACATGGCTTCATTATGCTTCGGATTGAAGTGTGATCACTTCTTGACACAAAAATTTTTGATTCAAGTCAATATCTTATTCTTGAAAGAAGATACGAGTGTTTTAAGGAAGTATGGTGTTTTTCAACTTTTTTTACCAAAAATCAGAACTCACATGAACTTATCGATTAACAACTTCAAGGATTGATATCACATATTTCTACCTTACTTGCTTAGCACTTACCGAAAAATCAATTACAAAAAACAAACAAGAAGCAGACCTGTAGTCAATAACGAGTATGCTCTCCTCGATATCGAATCACAGCATTCAACCGGAGTGGCTTCGAATTGATGGAATTACTCAAGTAGCCTTGAAGAATTGCCTAAAATCCTCCTTGAAGGGCGAATAGTAGCTCTTGAAGAGTATCTGACAAGGCTGGGCGAAGGCGAATGAGCCTCTAGAGGTCACCCCTGAGATAGGTAGATAGGTTCTGAATTATTGTTATTGAAAATTGAAAAAATTCATACTTTCTTGAAACACTTGAATCTTCTCTGAAGAAGAAGATATTGACGTTATTCAAGAACCGTTGCATGAAGAAGGAACAAAAGAGGATCACACTTCAATTTAAAACATGATGATGCATTGAAGTAGAAGGATGGAGAATGGTTCTGAATTATTGTAAATAAAGAATCCATACTCTCTTGAAACACTTGTATCTTCCTTTAAAAAATGGTTATCGACGTGAATAAGAAACCATGATGTGGAGAAGAGATCACCTCTCAATCTGAAACATAATGAAGCTAAGTTGAACCACTCACCTTTCCCACAGGGCGTTAAGAAGTTAAGGGTGCAAAAGTAACTTTCGTTTTTTCTTGTATAATGATCGAGTCATCAGATTTTCTTAGGAACTAATATTTGGGCTAACATTTGGAAACATGAATCTACGATTCGGTCGGAATTTCACCAAAATCGGACCGAATTGAAAAAGTTACAGAGCAAACAATTTGGCTAAATTATTGGTGGCCGCTTTTCTTTGCCGGTGAGTGTAGATACAAAGCTCAAGATCATTTCCACAAAGGTTCATAAAATAAACAACAATGGTGAAACATTCGTAGAAAACAAATTCACGCGACTGACGTATAAACATTACATAATTTCGTTGATCAGTTACGTAACAAAAGAGGTAATGAATGAGTTCAAAGTTCATGAGTTAACTGTGCACAATGTCCGCATCTTGTTACATCATATGTTACATCACGTCTATGTAATACTAATTCTATTAGTGTTACATCAATGAATAGTCAATGTAACGTCAGAATCTAGATAACATTTCCGTCTCACTCATATAATTGAGATAACTATTATATACTTCTGTGAATATGAATGAAAAAAGATTTCCAGGCGGATTATCACTTTATTGAACAGAAAATACATCATGAAGAGTAGAAATTCACCAACTTACCGTATCATGTTCTCAGAGGTTGAGTCTGCGATTTTCATATTCCCTCTTTGGTCATACTGACATAAAACTTGAACTCCAACACTCTGACTTAGCTGATACCTATTGATACAATTATCTACATCAAATTGCTGATGAATGTAACGAACAATTATCATTATCTACCTTGTGGACCTTGTTTTCTTGTTTCATGTAAGCAATCTTGCATTGAACATATTATTCAACTCACCAAAATAGAGAATTTCACATTCCTATTGAATTTCTGAAACTAAGATAGCTCAATTCTCACTAGCACTGGGTCAACTCGCTGATCAAGAAAGCATAACACAACAGAACATAGCAACATTGACGCCATTTTATTTATAACTTGAGAAGAGAACCTTCGACCTTCGAGCAAATCCAGCTCCATTATCTATCGTTCGTGTTCGTTTGTGAAAATTCGAAAAATAATGGAATTATATTGGTCAGGTTAGGTTGTCACGTCTGTTTGTTGAAGATGAATTTGTTGTGAATGGATTCATTCAAATCACACTACAATAATTTGCATCACATCAATATTAATTCATAAAAAATCAGATATTATATGAACATAACCATAGTTACGGAGATGTTATATAATTAATACGTGAGCTTGTTATGCTGAAAAAGAGATATCACTGTTATATGAAACATTGCTGTTGATTCAAGGAAAATAAAATTATATAAGTTTTGTATATATCTAAAATTTACAGCATATTGACGTCAATTTGTGGGAATTGAGTTACGGAACAAAAAAAAAATATGGTAGGTTAGATAAATTGTGTATAGCCGATAACAATCATAACACACATCACACATATTACTAACCTCAAATTAGTTAAGCAAGTTAATAATATTAAAAAATTGGACGCATATGAAAGCTTAGAGATATTTAAGAGTATATAGTCTTAAAGTATAATGAATGAGGATAGTGGACCTATTCCATATAGCCCTCTATATAGTTTAGTAATATAAAAATTGAGATTAACATGTGAACTCAACCATGACGAACATTAACTTAACGATTAGTATTTTTCGCGGTTGCATGAATATATACCTAGTATATAAGCAGCACACTAGAATAGGATATTCAGTTTCAATCTTTTCCTGAAGATGCTGACATAGTTAGCGAAACATGTGTCGAGGCGTTTAAATCGGTTTGGTTAGTGGTAAAACAGTTGTAGTGTATGGAACATTCGTTATATGAAACTATAATGCATGGCATATGTATGTAAATATTACTAGTGTGTGTACTTGGCTGAATCATAGCGTTGACCTGGCTAAATCAAAATCAGTAGGCCCTCAGGAAAGGAACGCTTTCATCAGAGTATTCGTTTACACGCATCGATGCAAAAAAGGTTTCATCTGAACCCAACATTTTTCCCACATTTTCACAGGCAAATCGAATAATACTCCTGCAGGCTTCATCAGTAGCCTCAGACCTGTACCAGATTTGCATGGAATAATTGAACAATAGTTATTTATTATACAAGGGAAAAAAGTAGTAGATTTTAGCTCCAGGTTGTGTTGTCTCCCGACGCGTAGCGGAGGGAGACAAAAAACCGTGAGCTAAAATCTAATATTTTTCCCGTGTATAATACACTATTTTTTTCTGTGACAGAAGGAAGGACGAATCAATATTGAGAAGATATTACATCATTTCGAAATCTGAAAATTATCGACGTGAAATTTCAAGATTTTAACAGTAGGGACACCTGCGTTTTATAGACATCTTTATCATTCTTTTGAAGTTATCAAATATCTGATGTCACTTCTGTCAGTTCAATTCTGTGATTTGATTTTAAAAAATTGCGAATTCAGTAGTTGTTTAGTAATATACGAAACCGCGAAGTCGAATGGAAGATAAAAGGACTTGCAGTTCTTTCTCGGAGACGGTATTATTGACTCATTTTTCGGAACTATAGCACAACAAAAGCCATTAACAGAGTATATGTATGTGATATATATCCGGGAAAAAAGTACTCACTTTTTTCCCACGGGAAAAAAGTAATTTATGAAAAGTGACATTTTATAACCTGCCAACAGAGATGAAATGCCAAACTTTTTTCCCGTCACAGAAAAATAATCTTTTATTTTATTTTCTTAGGTACTTCATGCAAGAGATATCATACCCTTAGACCCGAACGGATTCAGCGACCCTTTCGTCATCATTGAACTTCTGCCGCACAGAATTTTTCCCCACTGCAATGAACAACAGACCAACGTGCACAAGAAAACGTTGCATCCGATTTTCGACGAGTGCTTCGAGTTCAGGTAACACCACGAAAAAAAACCTCAAGCCCAGTTCATGATATACAAAGTTCTCATGTATGGGATTCAGCTCCCAAACATACGCTGATGCTCTTAGATTCCATACAGAGAAGAGCCATTCGACTAGTGGGTGACGCCGCACTCACTAACTCTTTGACCCCATCAAAACACCGTAGAAAAGTCAACGATCTTTCACTTTTCAATGAGTAATTCCACGGGAAATGTTCCTCACAAATATTTGCTATAATTCCATCACTAGCAATACCAGTCAGACAAACTCGACAGGCCCAGTTAGCACATCCCCTCGTCGTTAACCTTGGAAAATGTCGAACAACACTCTACTAAAACTCGTTCTTCTATAGAACGACGAAGCTTTGGAATTGTTTGCCAACGGAAGTATTCTAAAAAAACTATAAAACCTTCAAGAGTTCAAAACAATTCCAACACCTACACCCTCTTCCTATTCTTCCTAGATACACGAGATGTTCCACAAACACTACAGGAATTTCCTCTCGTGTGCTCCGAGTGATTTTAAAAAAAAGTGGATATCAATAACGCTAGACCTGATGATGGTTCCCTAATAACACACTTATGTCCCATGGATATCCTTAGTACGTCCTGTCGGGACATTCAGGACGTCCATAGGACGTTCGAATTTGGTACCGTGGACGTCCATTGGACGTCTGTGCGACGCACAAATGTCCCACTTGAGGACCAACTAGGGACGCCCCTGAGGGATGTCCCTGGGACAACTATCGAATACCCAAATCCTACAGTATTACTCATCAAGCACTACAGAGGACATCCTTAGGACATCCATGGAACAACCTATCAGCAACGCTGAGGGATATCAATTGGATGTACATAGGATATCCCAGGGATGTACGAATTATTCTTGAATTTGAATTTTACTGGGTCCCTCTAGGACCAGATCTTGTATAACTGATTAGGATATCCAGTTGAGTTGATGGTCCATAGAAGGTCCCCAGAAAGTTAGCCAAGGATGTCCAATGGACTTACGTGAAGGACATTGACGAGGAGTACTTATAGCCTACGAGCAATCATTAGTCAGCGAGGTGTGAGTTAACGTCCTCGCAGGGACAACATTTTGAAAGTACCAATTGGGACATCTGACGGATATCCCTAAGGAACATTCGAAGGATGTCCCTAAGGGACATTTCGATTGTTATACGATCCTGGAAATATCAAGTGCGTCTGTGCAGAGATATTTGAAGGAATGTACCATCAGGGACATTTCATGGTTGTTTGGAAGGGACATAGTATAAGATCTGAAGTCATGCCAGAATATGTACTACTCGGGACATCCGATGGATGTCCCTAAAGAAACTTTTAAAATCATATCCCATCAGGGACATGCCAAGGACGTCCTTGCATGGACATTCAATAACATGTACCACGTGGGACGTCTAAGGGATGCTATTTCTAGGACATTTGAAATGATAAATGATTCACCAGCTGGGACATTCCGTGGACGTCCTTGCTCGGACATTGCATGAGAAGTACGGAATGGGACGTCCCAAGGACACTTATTTTTGGTTCGAGACATTCGGACGTGAATTGTACCAAATAGGGGCGTCCCTAGGACGTTGTGTGCTATTGGGGTTTCTACGGATATAGGACTGTCCGCAGTGACGAATCCATCGCTTCTTGTTCTTTCTATCCTGAATCGTCTAGTGAGAGTAGAAGATATTTCTATATTTAAACCTCAGCAGATAGGTTAGTTAGCTTGGTTACAACGACGATTTCTATTATAAGCCATCATATACAGTAATGGCAACAGTGTCTGAGTCCCTCGCCACCCATGATGGATATACAGCCTGTGGATACAATGGAGTCAATTTGTTTGGTTTCCAAAATTAAATTCAATATCAGAAAACAAAGAAACTCAGAATAATAAGAGAAAGAGACTATGGTATTATCAATTCTAATGGCCACAGTAAAAAGGTGCCCGTATCATCGCAAAAAAACCTAGGCTCGATTTTTAAAGTGATACGTAGAAAAATTTTCATAAATTTCGAAGAATTCGAATTTTATTTTGTTACAATTTTACCACCCCGTAGCTAGGAATTGAAGCGATTTCGGACTGAGGTGAATTGCTTCGAATCGGTTCATTTTGACATCAGTAATATGCTGTGCTCAGATTTTGTACAGACCTTCTGAAGATCCTGTAGGTATATTTCATTCATGGTATCTGTATGTATAACTATTTTCAGTATTCCACTGACCTCTCCCTATTTTCCATTTGTATTATCACGCTGCTGATGTGCAAATTAATTCGAGAAAATAAAGAACGATGTGTTGCTATATACATTATTTCTAGAAAATATTTTTATAATGAAATATTCTTCTTTTGACAACTATTTATTTTCTACTTCCTTATAGTTTGTCTACAAATGCGTGTTTCTTCAGTTTTTCTGTTTTTTACAAATCTCATCGTTCGCTACATTGGATTCCCAATTCTGAACAAAAAACCTACGGCTTCGGTTCATGAATAAAAAATCGTTCGTCATATCGGATCTGTCATCTTGAATTCCCTAATTTGACGAAGGAATCATAGTCTCCGACCCCGAAAACCTCCAGACACCAATTTTGAATGGAATCGGATCATAATTACAAAACTCGTCCACCATGTTATACCCCCAATCTTGAATTTCCAAATTTTGACGAGAGAATCAGAATTTCCGACCCCGCAAAACATAACCTATTAATAGAATCGGATCATAATTACAAAACTAGCCTGCCATATTGGATCCGCCTTCTTGAATTTTCCAATTTCGGCGTTAGGAACATAATCTCCGACCCCAAAAACCCAAAGATAAAAATTTTGAATAGAATCGGTTCACAATTTTTGAACAACTCGTCCGCCATGTTGGATATCTTTGTATGAAGGAGAATTCAAATTCTCTACATCATCAGATGAATTTGTTTTCAAATTCTTATCGTGTGTGTTCAATAGATGTGATTCAATGTTCGTCGTGGCATATAGCCAGGAAAGTAGTTGTTTTCTGTTGAATAAACCAAGAAAGAATTATTAATTTCATCACATGGAGAAGGCGACTACTCAATGTATTTCTTTATTTATATATATATATATATATATATACATTGTGTCCCAAATTCGATCCTCACCATTGGGATCTCAGTAACTATGAGAGATAGAGGAACGGTTGAATCAGCAAAGTTGTAGCAAATTTAATGTTGAATCATAATCTATCGAGAAATCCGGGCTAGCTTCAGTCATTCTTGAGTTATTTGAGAAAAACTGAAATCTTGTATTTTTGTTTTTCCCGAATATCTCGGAACCTATTGATTTTATGAAAAAATGACTTCAACATTCTCATAGCACTTTTTAGTGCTCTTTTCAATGGTTTTGTCAGTTTTCCGTCAAAATGTCAAATTTCTGAGATATCACCTACAACTTAAATTTTTCTTATGGACGCCATATTGAATTTTCACAGATTTGAAATCAGCATCAAATTTCCTTTCTAGTGATGTATCACACTTACAGTTTTATTCTATTTGGGGTACTGATTTCCAATGTTTGTTTTTATGTCCAGTAGGCTATGCGCTATGCGCTAAGCTCTCTATAATCATTAACGATAATGTGTTCTGGCACAACTTTCATAGAGTAGGCTTGGAGCAAAGGTGAGCCAAGTGACATTTCTGTAAACGTCAAGAAAAAATACAAATCAATTATTTCGGGGCAAACAATGCCGTTCACAAATCTCGAAAAATTTGATATGTATATGGTGAGGATCGAATTTGGGACACACTGTATACATATATATATATCCATTTTTTTGTGTTCATAAATATATCTGAGAATATTCCTCCTCAATACATCCACCCAATCAAGGGGTTCAAACTTGAACGATGAAAACTTGTTATTTTTATAGACCCCAATCGCAGATTCGTGATTCAGTTTTCTTAATTCAGAATTTCTTTTCACGTCCTGTATGATGAATATCAATTTATCGTACATCCCAAAATATCAATTCGATTACACCCTGTATCGTGACTATTATTTTTCAGCGTGTCGTTAGAGCAGTGCCGCTACCCCGGCACGACGATTGCCTTCACCGTGATGGACCACGACGTCCTCACGGCCAACGACTTCGCCGGCGAGGCCTTTCTGGCGCTGGGCGCCATCCCAGGCGTCGCTGACACCGGCGCCGGCGTCGACAACTTCCACGGCCTCAAACCCGTCGAGCTGGTCCTCATGCAGCAACACCAACGGAGTGAGTATCCGCTAGGGGTGGTTGGACGTGGAGTTCCGCAAGGAACGGTTCTTGGGCCGGTCTCTTTCGACATTTATGCAGAGTGTCCTTGGAAAGTGTTTCGTGTATATGTCTTCATGGAAGTACTTGGAACGAAACAACTCGATACTAGCAAATTAAGTTTCGGTGCTAGACTGCATACCACCGATATAACGAGACTCTGGCGTATAATATATATATATATATAGATATAATTATGAATTCATAAACAAATGATTCGAAAACTGGGTAAACTACATGAATAATTCCAGTCAACATTTATATTGATGAATCATCCAAATCGAATCACAGAAAAGCTGATTGGATTCGCTTATGACAGTGTTTATCTGATAAAATAACCAGAGAGAACGATCTCCCTCTCTCTCTCTCAGAAAACACATTCATTTATTTATCTTCGTTGTGAGCAAACGTTTACAGTTTTTCCACGACCTCAAGCCGGTCGAGCTCGTCCTCATGCAGCAATACCAACGAAGTGAGTATACGTTAGGAGTGGTTAGACGTGGAGTTCCGCAAGGAACGGTGCTCGGACCGGTCCCTTTCGACATTTATGCTGGGTGTCCTCGGAAGGTCTTCCGTGTATATGTCTTTACGAAAGTACCACATATTGCTTGGAACGGTACAACTCGATACTAGCGAACTCAGTTTCGGTGCTAGACTGGCGTATCATAGTAGAACATCGTCTGTATAGAATTTTCCACGAAGAGCAAAAATTTAGTACCAATTTGTTTTGTTGGTTTACGCATCAACTCGAATTCAAGCCGGTTGAACTCGTCTTCATTCAGCAACACCAACGAAGTGAATAACCGCTAGGGGTAGTTGGGCGTGGGGTTCCACAAGGAACGGTGCTTAGGCCGGTCTCATTCGACATTCATGCATGGTGCGCCTGAGAGGTCTTTACAAAAACCTACCGCAGTGCAAAGTTGATTAATTTCGGTACTATACACTGTTATTAGGACCAATTTCATAATGAGATATATACTAATAGTTCATTTCATCAAATGAACCTTTTAGTTGAGGCCCCATTCGAATTGATTTTTTCAATATTGATGATTGGTTTCATGATCACTTGACAATGATATTTCAACTAGAAGACCATTTCATGAAAATTAGCAATGTTGGTATACTTCAATCGATCAGTTACTGGGGCAATAGAAACTGTGAAGGCATGTGGAAGTATTGTTGTCAATCAGTGTATGTTTTCTGTACTTATAGTGGAAGATGAAAATTAGAATGAAAAAGTATCTTCAATCTTCACTAAGGGAAACGAACTGCTTCTTGTTGAGGAAGTCCAGAAATTCAAAAATATAGATCAATACTTGACAACTAAATAAATTCAACAAGCATGAAAAGACTTTTTTCAACTATACGATCTAATTCGAAAAAAAATTCCTGGCGCCAAGCATCAAATAAGGCTCCACGCAAGAATTGTCCACTACCTTCTTGTATCGTTCCTATTCCCACAAGAAACTCGAAGTACTATTTATAGTGTCAATGAAATTTGCTCAGTGAAATATTGTATTTCATTATTTCGAACTAGTTTACTATCGCAAACTGTTTTGTTTGTTCTTCGGAGCTCTGTAACTTTTTCAAATAATTATTGAAACTTACGATATTCAATAACATGAAGAACGCAGAAAAACGCGTCACCTTATCGTCCGAGTACCCCATATAAGTTTCGAGTTACATATCAATTCTCCATTTATGATAGACAAGTGCAGGGAAATTTCCGATTGTCATTTCAATCAGAATATTGAATCAATCTTCCTGATTGAATACTCACTGCAGATAACAGAGAACCCAACACACAAATGAAGAATCAGATGATATGAGGATTATATTTGAATATTCGCATCTTGACTATAGATGGAACAAGGATTCGAAGATGAAGGTGACAGCCGATATTGATGTCAGGAAGTTAGGTTGACAATGTATTTTCATAACGACCTTCATTTCTGGGGCCCTTACTATGTCGCTTGTTCGAACAGAGATTCTTCTGGTACTTGTCGGGAGGGGTCTCGGGCGCCAGATTGTATATGAGGTGGTTCACTCTACCTGCTTCTATATACTCAGTTTATAAGAAGGCCTGGGTAACAACAGTAGAGACAGGTACAGGAGGTATACCTACCTCGGTATCTACAGTAGAAACCAGGGGTCAATGTTATTGTATCGACCTGGAATCAATAAACATCGGGAATGTAGGGTTTAATTACAAACCCTGGGTTCAGCCTGGTATACTGGTTGCTTTCTTAATGCTGGATAATAACAGGAATCTCTCGACAACGGGACTCTGGAATTTTTAAATAATTAAATAAATAATATTTCATTTCATTGAGACCATTTACACGATATTGGAAAAGTCAGTAGAGAAAAAAGTATACATAATAGTTATTTTTGTATCTAGAGCGCGAAATGCTACTTTGGTGATCGAGATCTGATTTTTTTCACGAGGCGTGGCCGAGTAAAAAAAATAGTCGAGATGACCAAAGTATTTCGCGCTCGAGTTGCAAACAACATTTTTTCTACAAACGTCAACAAAATATAGTTCCAAAGTAAAAATATGCTAAGCTTGATATAGAAAATAGTGTTGAACTGGCCTAAAAGGCCTCCCACTATCTTTCCTAGGTACGCACGATGTTCCACGAACATAATAGGTATTTTTTTTCGTGCGATCCAAAAGATAAAACAGAGATATTGTTGAACATTCAGAAATAAATGATTTCGTGTATGTTTGCTCGATTGAGCACTATTAAGTTGAAATATAAATATCTCATATATTTTACATAACAATGCGCGAAGTAGGTACTTCGCGCACTGTTTTACTTCGCGCATTGTTTTGTGCGAGGTATCATGGTAACGTAGGAAACTGAAAAAAAGTGTCACTTCGCAATTTGTAATCAATGCGCGAACCTTGTCATTTTTTGACGTTTGTAGAAAAAATATGTTATAACATAAATGAATATATACAGAGATATAAAAGCATTGAAAGATACATTCCATGAATTCATTCAGATTATAGAATGAGTATTGCAACAAGAAATCTATGACGTATTCCTCAAATAAATTGAGATTTTGGATTTCTCTTAAAGAGATTGGTAATTTATTATACAACTGTATACCAATATAAGATGCACTCTTTTCAAAGAAAGTTGTCCGATGAGGCGGTATGCCAAGAAGATTACCATATGCCTTGTTTTATAGTTATGATTGTCAGCACTTTCAATGAAGTCATTCAAATTATTTTTCACGAATAGTATGATTTTATAGATATAGATACAGGGCAGAGTCAAAATTCTCAGTTTTTGAAAGTGGCCTCTACAGGAAGTTCGCTTATGAATCCCGAAGAGGAGACGTATTTTTTTTGTTTGTAAAATTAACAATTTTGTTGAGAATCTACAGTTTCCCCATATTATGACGTCATAGGATAAATGAGAGTATGTTATCGCATAGTAGATATTTATTAGTTGTTGTTCGGAGAATATATTTTTTTCAGTGGTAAGATTGCATATAATATAGTAGCTGCTGCATATCTTAGAAATATGATTGGTACATGCACACATACTAATAAAGAGTCCAGAAAAGTTCCAAGGTTGGGCCTGGAAAATTATTTATCCAAACGATTTCACTAGTCTACCTGGAGAATCGAAAACACAGTTCCAAACAAATTGAACATATTCAATTCGTATTTATCTTTTATTTTTCTTCAATCTCCTAATTTTGGCAATATCGGCATTTTAGTGAGATTAATTATCTTTTTCCATCCATGTCAAAATTTCATGAACCACAGGGCACAGCCTGACAGGATACCAAGCACAGGGACACTGGTGCACAGGACAGGAATGCTCAAGGAATAGAAGAAGGAGAGTTGATAACTGGCTAGGTCAGTGTTAGCCGTCAGTCAATAATAATAATGAGCAATTTGACAAATGAAGATATTGGATAAATTATTGGAACTATTCGGAACTGAGAACAATGACAACAATACTGGGATATTTTTATAGGTATTGAAACATCTTGCAAGTATATTAGTTTTCAATAAGTGATTATTAAGGACTAGGTCGAATAATTGTTGTCTTCTGTAAATGTTATATTGACAAAAATATTTGCGATGATTTCAAATAACGAATGATACTATTTATACACGGAATGATCAATGAAAAATAGGTATGTGGCGTGAATTCGACTAGTGTGGACAACCCCACTTAGTTGAATGAAATAATAGAGAATGAGTCGATATTAGTTCCCAGCGAGCACAAAAACATCTCAGAGATGTTAAAAGTACGAGATTTCGAGACATTGAACCTCCACTTCGATGTTCTGTTCACACATGAATAGAACTATTATAGAACAGCCAATGTCCGCCGCAGGCAGCAATTATCGAGATGTCCTTGATATGTCACAAAACTATACCTTCTCCCTAGTTCTTTTTGAAGCCTTTTCATGGACACAACAGAACATTTTCAACGCGTCTTGCGCACATTAGATCGCTGTGAAAAAACCATTTTCGATGTACTTTTCTGAAGCCTTTTGTCAAAATGAACTTTTGCATTAGGATTCCATTTCCCTTGAATGAAAAAACGCATTAAAAATAGATATTGAACATAAAAATATTTCCTTGATATGAAATTACCTTCTCAATCGGTTTCTGAGTAGTGCTTACTACACACAAACATATAATTGGAAATACACACACTGGCACAATTAGGGGAACGGGCAAAATTTACACTAAGTTTGACATCAATTTTCTTTCGAACCGATCGTTCGATTCAAATTTTTTTCTTCACGAAATGTTGCTTCATTCTCCACGAATACATCTGAGAAATAATTACCTTCAAACGATGAGTCTTTCCATCATATACAGGGGTGTAAAGAAAGTACAGATTTTTCGGTATTTTTTAGACATCCTGATGTATTCGTGAAGAATGAAGCTACAATTCGTGAAAAACAAATTTGAATCGAGTGATCGGTTCGAGAGAAAATTGATGTCAAACTTAGTGTAAATTTTACCCGTTCCCCTAATTGTGCCAGTGTGTGTAGGTTTCCCAATTTTTGAAATGTTCTCCACAATGCATAATTTTGCAACTGCGGAGAAGCTGTGTATTGATGACTTCGTACTTTTATATATTGATTACACTGAGGCACCGAACAACACATCTTGCATCTGATGGTCATTATTACAAACTAAATAAGTCTTCTAACACAATGAACATCACCAAATTCCTTTCTGTTCGTTAGCAGCGTGATGTAAGCGTGACACGCTGCAAACGCGAATGCCAATTGCGAACAAGAAAAACAAAATCGAAAACAAATCAGAATTCATCGTATTTGACGTAAGCATGAGACGTTGTGGTGGGGCGAACAAAGAAAGGACACAAAAGAACAAAAACAATACTTTCGATATTCTTCCTTATAAGACCACTTTGGGAAGTGCATATTACGCCTCAAAAAAACATCCTCATGCCTACATTTCTAAAACATCCCAAAACATCCCAGGGATACCTCTCAGTAGGCAAACAAAGAAATGCCACAGAAGAACAAAAACGATACTTCAATATCCTTCAAAGACCTCTTTGGTCAGTGCATATTACGTCTCAAAATAACATCTTCATGCCAACATTTTCAAAACATCCCAAAACATTCCAGGGATGTTTGTGCTCGCTGGGTTCAATCTCTGAAATTTTCGTAGACTCATTCAGCTATAAGGTTGATAGGAATATATTCTTTTGCAAGGCGCTTATCAACTTAGAGAATGGATTCGATTCGATCTGAAGTTGAATGTAAATGTAATCTTACCTATAAACGTCGAAAACTTTCCAGTCTAATTTTATGCTCCTTCTCCCAAGGAGGAGGAAATAACTTCTGGTTATTTGTTCAGTTGCTATCGTAACGATACAATATACAGGCTATTGATTGGTCAGAAATTTTTTGAATTTCCACATGAAAACTAACATATCATTTTGTTTGTAGATCACCCAATCCTTCACATTCTGGAATCAAGAGTTGGCGACAGACTGGCAGCAGATTTCGTCAAGAAACAGAAGCAAAGATTCGCGAACAAATAATGATCGTAGATAATCCTAATCGTAAAGTGAATATACACAAATGTTTTTATATGTGATGTGTTCTAGATGGACTACGAATGTTCTACTATACTTCCAAGCACTGACCTTTATTGTACATATACCTACATATAGGATAATTGAGAGTGAATATTAGGTACTTCGGAAACATGTCATCAATCATTTCATGCTCATCCACGCAATCACTTCATATTGGAAGTTCATGGAATAACGAAACAACTTCAGTGGAATTATAAAATATACAAACTTGAATCAATCACATTCTACTCATTTGGTGTCATTATTAACAATAACTTACTATGAAAGACCAATACAGATGACTATCGATGATATACCCATGCAAATTTGTTGAATGGAATTCGAATATCTGTGTGTAAGATATGTTTTTTCGTATTCAAACATCTTTCAATCCTCTTGGCGTCATAATAGTATATTATGTAACAAGTGTTATAAACGTCCTTTTAGTAACGAGTGTTTGATAAACGAGTGTCTAGAAGAGTTTATAAACGCGTGATATACTATGCTTTTTCTACGAACTCCGAAAATAACATTAACAAACCTGCTATTCCTGCTAACCTACAAAATAATTCGAAAGGAATGGGAATTCAGAACATAATACATGCAACTGCATGCAACCAGCGAGACACGTATAAGTGATATTGGTTGTAGATGTGTCCAGTCCACTGTCTACTAACCTTTGCTTCACGTTTATTATCATGCTTAGCGCAGAATAAATAAATTGTTCTCAAAGATGGATGCTTCATTTTCACACTTCAGAATATTCTCTTTGATTTCAGTTTCGTCTACATTTCGCATATTTTTAATGAATAATTCTGATACAAACGAATATTGTTTGAATAATTCTGATACGAAATTTGAAAATAACAGTTGACAGTTGATACAATTGACAGGCCAGACATGTCTCAAATTACTGAAGCTGTGTTTAATGAACTGTGTTGCCAAGGTAATTTGTTTAAGAAATCGTGTTGCCAAGGTAACGTGTTTAATATTTTGAATAAATCACAGATCGACAATCCGTGATTAATCGATCATTTAGCGTGGTACATATCCGTACGCTAAATGCCATTTTAGTTATGTGAGTAGAAAAAGAAAATATTTGTCCCACAAAGTTACCATTGTCACTCATATTGTGAAAGAAAATAATTGTATGAACAACTTCAATTCAGGATTTTTTTTCTATCTCCATTTGTTGGCATTTATTCGAATAAATCTCAATTGAATTGACCCCTTCTTGATAAGAATCAAGTTGGCCAGGAAACAAATTGTTTTGAAAACAATATGAATTCTAACAATGAAAATATCTTTCCGGGTGGAATATTGTTTGAAAAAATATGTGTTTACAATGTATGGAAGATAATTGTTGTTAACTCTGTGGAAAATATTCATTTTCAGACGTCATCTCCGCCATTTTGAAGAAGGTTGGAAAATGTTCAAATACGAACAAATACAGGGAGTTTCAGAGTTGTAGTGACAAAGGCCTAGGGAGGATTCCTCACTACAAAATATGTTCTTATGAACATATTATTGGTCCAAAAATGCTTTGTTTCCATCAAGATACAGAAGTTGTCCAAGTTTGAAAAAAATTGGTTCAACATATTGAAAACGCCTTTGCCGATTTGTATGAAATTCTCATGGTTCATTCACACAATTATCAGGCATTTATTGAACCAATTCGATTTAATCAATAATTTTCAAGGGCCTACATATCGAGCAACTCAGTTTTTTTGTAAAAAAAAGTCACCCAGTGTTGTTTTTTCAGTTTCTTCCTCAATGTTCAAGTGAACCCACTGAAAATACAACATTTTTGTCTCCTGCTATTTTTGCGTATCTTGCTTCATTTTCGAGAAAAACAATCTCTGAACTCCATGAGGAAGAATTACTTTCTTAGATATGATCCAAAAGTTTATTGCACTTTATTATTTATGAAAACGAAGAAGACACAATATTCAACAGCCTCTCTGAAATGTTTATAATCTTCAAATTGTGGGGGAAATATTTTTTCAAGATGTTAATGAAAAACCGATTATTTTTCGAACGAAGCATTATATCTGATCCATGTTCATATACACTTTTTTGCATATTTTGTTGAAAGCAATCTTTCCTATAGGCTTTTGTCAACACAACTCTGAAACACCCGGTATACCTTACACATAGCAGCTATACAAATACCCTCTGCCTAATTTATATTTGCATCAGTTTGCCTTTATTTGAATCACCCTGTGGCCACACAGAACATTTGAAATTATCATGGAACTTTCATTCGGGTTGAAACTACAGCGGCAACTTCTGAATTAGTTCTAGAACCACTGTTTGCCCAAGAAAGTGCTTCTACCAAAAACCAGAACGAAAAATCCATGTAAGCTCTGGTTTTCGGAATATCTTTACGAGGTAACAACATCAGCAACAGAGTTATTTAATTTTATTTATTCATTTCATTTATTCATTGAAAATGTGACTTACAGTCAGAATTAACTTCTGGTATAAGGAAGTATAGTTAACAATAATACTTGAAACTCATAAATAATATAATATTTTAATACATTTAGTATAAAATTTTGACAAATCATTTCATATGTGAGCAACAATCAATATGCATTTGAATCAAAAGTTGGAAAAAAAGTCATCTATTTCGTTCAGAAAAGATAAATTTCTTAAGTTCGTATTTGATTCTTATTGTATTTCTGCAATTGTATATCATCTGGTGATTTGTTATAAGAACAGAGCAGCGTGGCTGAATCTATTTTGGCCTATAGTAGAATTAGCGATATCAAGATGAAATAAACCATCTAGTCTAGTTTGGAAATCATAAATTTCATTGTTTCGTGTTAGAATTGAATCAAATTTCAATCTTTTATTCATGATATTTATTGTATGTAATCTTCATATATTCAATTTTGAACATTTCTTCTGATGAGAATGATTCAGTTACTTTATTCAATTGATTAGTTGGTATATCATATGGTAAACGATACAGTACTTTCAATTTATTCTTATATAATGCAGATATTTTATTCAAAGTGTTTTTTGAACAGTATCCCCAAACATTTATCAAAAAGTTGACACTATTGAGTATATGAGGATATAGAATTACATTTGCAACTTCTTCATCGAGCTTGGGACATCATCTCAGGGCTCCAATGAAAGGAGATATTTTTTTCTCCAAAATATTTATATGTTTGTCTCACTTTAACTTATCATCAAACCAAATCCCAAGATACCTCTCCTCATTAGTTTGTTTCAAAGATTCATTTTCAATTGTGAGATTCAAATTTATATTTTGTTTATATTTTTGTTGGAAAATCATATATCCAGTTTTATCAGTGTTTATCGATAAAAGGTTTAAATGCAGCCATTTTCGAAACATCAAGTCTCTGTTTATTATATTTTCTAAAATGATGAACACTGAAATGAAATAGAATTTTTGTCGTCTAGATTGCGTGAATGATCATATATTTTTCCGAACTATCTAGATTCTACGAATTATGATCCAAAATAGTATGTCCATACAGGGCGTGGCAAAATTTTATATTGGAATTGATAGTAGTGATTAGAGAAGGCTTCCCCTGCATGGACATCTCGTTTGGATTACTATCACAAAATGTCGATGTAAATATTATGGGAACCCCATGTTCATTCATTTTGTCCCAAACTTACACTGATAACTTGAAGCCCATGTCGCTTGAGGTGCCTTTGAATTAGTTTTTTCATATCAATTTCTCACAAGAATCCATAGTTTCTCTACCCACTATTTGCCTCTTCGTAGTCGTTTTTGTATTTCAAATCATTTCCTGATGCTTTACTAATGATCACGTGACAGTATAAGAACATTACCAATGCGTACCTACTTCAATTTTTTTTTCAATACCTATACAGGGTGTTAGCCTGCCAAACTTCACCAGCGGCTTCTAAAACCAAGAATAGAAATAAAAATCTTATTGAACATCAGTCTATAAATGTCTCCCAAGGGAACTACGGCCCCCTGAGAGAGGGTTCCTGACGATGATATCTGTTTAATAATTCCAAAATTTCATTCAGGAGTGTATAGTACAGGGAGGGACTATATATATCAAATATTGCTCAAACCACACTACTGATGCCCGCGAGAGTCTCGTTTTCGAGAGTCTCGCATGGTCTCGTCTCGAGTCTCGTGCAAGACTTCTCGTGTCTCGTGCGAGAGTCTCGCAGGTAAATATTCCTGCGTGCCGACTGCAAACTTGAGAATTTCATTTATAATAAAACATATTCAGATAGTATTCTATAAGAAAACATCGAAATCGCCAAACAAAAACATTTGCGATCGTGAAGGCTGATCTGACTGATAAAGGTTTTTTTTTCTTCAATCGGCAGGGATAGTGGCTTCTTCCTGCCGCTTGACAGGCAGAAAAGGTGTACTTTTAATGCCTAGGAAGAGGTATGCAACGTTTCAAGAAATTCTGATGGAATTAGCAATCAAAATTGACACTGACATTGGGTGAACACAAAATGGTGGAGTTTTCAATAAAAAAATTACACAAAATTGGTTTTATATCATTTGGAGAAAAAATTCTATGTTTCACACGGCAGCAAATGTAGATTGATTACTTTTCTGCCTAGTAAAACAAATAACTATTTTCTCAGATACCTATTTCTCAAATGAGTAAAACAATGTTGAATTAAAGTTTTTGTTTTGTTTATTTGTTTGTAATATACGTGTTACTTTCAATTTTATTTTTATAACTCTCGAATATAAAAATGCTATGTTTTTTTCTCTTGTTTAGATGTATGATGTATACACCTATTAGGTATACTAACTTTTCACTTTTCAAAAAATAGTGTTATTTTTGTTGTAATTTTCACTTCCTAACTTCTACATTATACCTAAAAAGGTAAATATCCCGTACTAGACTGAAACAAGATTATGCATGACGAAATTGCGATACATTTGCGAGACTCTCGTACGAGACGCGAGACAAGACGAGACTCGGGGCTGCGAGACGAGACTCGAGACAAGACTTAATATTTTATCGGCGAGACGAGACGATACTTTATGAAAGTCTCGTCTCGTTGGTCTCGTGTGAATCACTAAACCACACCTCAGATGTATCATTTCCGAGTAAAATTGATTTGAAAATATTGTTATTTCTCTGATATTATATGCATAATATTGCATTGCAATCTAGTGGATATGGAAAAAAATGCACAAAAATTGTAGTACTTTTTAATCATCATTTTCCTATGAAACGCACCTATATGAAATTGTTTGGTGAAAAAAAAGTAGTTAATTTTTTTTGATAGTCACTATGATT